CCAAAACGGGACCGCCAACCTTAGCAAGGGAAACCGGGGACCGCCAACGTTAGGAACAAAAAAAGTGCTCCGCCCACAGGCGTGTGTGTGTGTGTGTCTGTGTGTGCGCATGTCCCAGGGCATCGACAATGTCTCAATTTGTGTTTTATCTATATACTTCAGGCCTGCCAGTGTGGGGACCGGTTTTCGTTCCTCGACTCTGTGAGCATAAAAGCCTCAAGCCCGCTCGTTTCCGGTGGCAGTTCCCATACCTGTCGTGTTCCCGTTACACCGGTCCCCGGGTTCGGGTTGCTGTTTCCATGCCCGCAGGTTTCGGTTACAGTGTGGGGAGCGTTTGCCGTCACTCCCAAAACTGGTTCCCGTTACTCCCCGCCCCCCATGCAAGGTACTCCGCCTTAGTCTGCAGCAGGTTTTCCGACTTGGTCAAAACTCAACACTGAAATAAGGACACCCTGGGAACACGGTAGGGTCAAAAAATTGGAGAAAAGGGGTGCAGGCTGGAAGGGCGCAAAGTGCTGCATGATCATCGCGTCACACTGAGATCCTGCATTGAAGCTCATCGGAACCCGTTTGTGTCCAAACACTCCGAATGCTCCATGTGGGTATGTCTGGACGGACGTGACAATGCGCGGCAGCAGTTGAAATGGGGGCCGGCTTTCGATCCGCGTCGGTGATCCACGACCAAGGTTCGTATGCTTGCAGAGCTGGAAAATCACAGTTGCAATAATACTTATTTCGAATGCAGGTGGTTCTCTAAATTAGGGTCTCTGTTAGGGATCTTTTTTTAGGGTGTCGTACTAGATTGGGGACTGAAACAGGGACCCCAATTTAGAGGGAGTACCCATGTACACTATTGGTCGACTCCCCCTGGCCGGATGTCTTCTCCAGGGCCTGGGCTGACTTTATTTGGCCCACAACTACTCTGCCAGCGGAAACACAGAGCTTCGGGGATTCCTTCGAGGATTCGGAGAATTTGATGAAGGGCACTCGCCTCCTCCCCTTCTCCTCCTTAACCCCAAACCCCCAAGCAGGACTGCAACGGCTGCTCTTATTTCAGCCTCTTGGATGCCCGGAGAAGCATGAGCGCCCACGAATGCGCCGAAAGGGTACGGGAGGGAGAAGAAAACACTGGAGGGCTCGAGAGTTTGGAGGACTTGGGGTGTAGCATCATTTGAGGCTTATAGGCTTCCGTCTGAGAATTTTGGAGGACCTGATGACATTCCTTTTCGGAAACGATCTTAGAGGATGATGTGGGCCCATGAAGGGTAGGAGATGTGCAACCGCCGTCGTGGTGCTACCCGTCTTCAGGATGCTGCTAGGGTGCATCAGTCCTCTCATTCGCATGTCAGGCGGGGGCTGCAAGGGCCGCCAAGCGGCCTTCGTGAAGCGCCCAGGGGACTCTGGGCAGCGCCGGCTGCAATCTGCGCATTGAGGAGCCATGCCTTTTCTGTCATTTGAACAGAAGCCTCGTCTTTTGATAATTCTTGGGCTCATCTCGGAACCGTAACCGTGCTCTTCTGATCATTCTCGCCGAGAGCCGTGGCCTGAGCAGGTGCTCCAAGTGGTTTCCAAGGGGCTCGTAGATGTCTTCGCTTCGGGGAGCTTAGGAGTACTCCTTGGGGCCTTGGGGTTCAGATGTACAGACCATACCAGACCTTGCGAAGATCGCAACGCGAGCGTTAGGGCTTGGACTGCTAACGTAGCGTGGAGTCTGCTTTTTCTTCCATTGCTCCGACGCTCCCGTTCAAGTGCTTCGGCTCGACTGTTTGCGCTGGGGTAACAAACTTATGGCAGCAGTAGCTCCGAAAATAAATCAAATGGTACCTGCTGTTAAGAAGGTGAGCCTGCAGATGTAACTTAACTTAAAGTTTCCGTGCATGCGAGAAGTTCCGCTGCGTTTGCACATATATGCCTGGTCTAGCAGGCTTCTCTGAGCTCCACACGGCAAAGGCCCCTTTGTATGACCCCTGTGTAAAGAAGCACGTGGTATTGTCGAACCACCTAAACACCCACATATGTTGATCGTTTTCCTGAAGGCTGAAGTTTCAACCATTTGAACCATTTCCCTAGTCGCCCAGTTGCTGGACCTCGGGTCATCCAAGGCATTCCGCCTGCGCGGATATCGCTGGATGGATCAGCGAGGATGGCAAGACCTGTGCCCCGGAAGGAATGCCAGGACTCAGAGTCAGAGGTCTTCGGGCTTTGGGGCCGAAGCCCTGACTATCGCCCGCTTTACCTCCCTAAACTTGAGACTTATAAACCCCACTTTCCAATTTCTTCCTGGATGTGTAGGCTTTGGTACCCTAAGGCCTGGAGATGACTCGTCCAAGTGATACTTCACTGAGCGGAAAACCTTCCCTGTCCCTTCAGTCCAGAAGCTAATGCAGAGGATCCCCTCATGACATGACCACCGAAAGCCCCCCTTGAAGACTGGAAGATCGCTAGGCAGCTATCTCCTCATCCCTCGGGTGGGGAGAGTGCTTTAAGAAAGAGGCCATGTTGTCGAACTTTCAAACGCCTAAACTTTGAGGGTTTCCGCGTTTTTTGCGAGGCCAGCAGCTGGCAGCATCCAGCTGCAGTGAGACCCGGTTCCTGGGTTCGAGCAGCAAGGAGGCCTGCTGCAAGTGCGGAGGCCATCGGAGAACCTGGGTCGGAGCAACCCTAAACCCTAAACCCTAACGGGGAACCCAGAGACTCCAATATCGCTTAATTAAGGAATATACCTTAAATGATGGTGGGATCCTTAATATGATTTAAGGTATATTCCTTAATTAAGGGATATTGGAGTCTCTGGGAAAGTACGGATGATTAGGCGCTGTCATCAACTCGGGTTTGAGACTTCTGGACTTGGGCTGCAGTCTCGGCGACTTCTCAGCTGCATGCACAGAGTGCCCCCCAAACGTGTTCCAACGTTTTAAGCCTGGGGTCGTGCACGGCCAACTGGGCATCGCAATGGTGTAGTTGGGGCCGGGCCATGGTTGGGTTTGAGGATGTCAGGCCTATTCTGAGCAAGAGTGTCCCCGAAAAGGACCGCTGCAACTGGCCGCTGCGGGCGCAGTGGACTTTATGTTCCCTGATCTCTGTCGCCCAGCACGCCTAACCCTCAATTCTTTCTCAGAGAGCGCCCTCATTCACTTGGGAGTTTCCGAAAACTAGGGGTACCTTATTTTGGGGTCCTAAAAATAAGGATCCTA